GCGCTCGTCTCCCAGACTTCGACTCCTGTCTCGCCTAGCGCGGAAAACTTGTCGAAACTCGGGGACAGTTCGGTATGACGGTTGATAGATATTTCGCAAGAGTCTCCCCGGTCGACTTTTCCGCGCGTCTTTAAGTTTTTCGCCACGAGCCACCACGGCACCGGGTAACTTCGTGATTTACGAAGCCAACTTCCGTTTCCCGTATTTTTCCGTACCACGCTCGCCAACTTGGCCGGCTGTTACGCCAGCAAATGTCTCCACTGCAAATTCGACGGAAGTGATCGAGGGACAGGGTGCGCGAACACTGGGAAAGGAATGGTCGATCGCTGAACGCGATGTTTAACGGCTGTTCAACTTTATGCGTACTTTATCCCTGGCCACGGTCTGCGTGCTCGCGTCAAAGACCACGAATGTCCATGGTAGCAGCGGAAAAATCGGCCCCGCTAAGAGAAAAACTCGTGAACCGCGAGAGGTCGACGTCGCGGTGAGATCCATTCGAATAATGGCTCCGACTTTGATACCCACTCTCTTTGACTCGTACTCGGGGCTGACTGCGACACGTTTCTCGCGTCTATGTTTTTGCGGGCGCGACAAAGAATCCCGTAATAAATCCTCCGACGCGCGATCGACGCTTCCATGTCGCAGTGCTATCGTCTACGAAGGATTACTTTAACCCGTTAATCGGTATTTATTACGCTCCGCTTTCCTTAGAGAGAATACGCGTGCCTCGTTAGCATTTCGAACGACGGCATAATAAAATTATCAACACCGTACGAAACGAGCGACACGTTCACCACCGCCCCGTTCCTACTCGCGATACAAGCCTCTTCAACGACCCCCGTACGCAACGTGCATAATAATTCGGTCACAGAAACGCCCATCGCGATCGTGTCCCCGTTATCGCGATTACCGAATCCTAGTTGGGAGTGGCCCGGTCTCCCGAAACAACTGTTTTTATTGCCGACCGTTATTGGACCGATTCTGAGAACGGCCCGATAGGGGCGTGTGCACGCACCCGTGACCACCTCGTTATCGCGAAAAACGGATCCGGGTGCTACGGGTGGAGGGGGTCACGCACAATTAACGAAGCTGTTAACGCGGAGAATTCTCAAACGTCTACAGGTGGCATGTATGTAGGTGTTGGAACTGAAAGTGTTCCCTGAATTGAACAGATTGCAACGATATTACGGTAAATAACGATGTTAAAATACATCCCCAATTGCTTTTTAGACTCGCAACATTCTAAACGATTCCACCATCAGAAGGGCGAAAAAAAAAACTGAAGGAATTACGTACACGGTGGATGCGGCGAAGGCTCTGATAGCCTCAGGGGTGTTCGATGCAGGCACCGGACCAAAAAACTAAATGAGACTTTTCAAAGAGTGGCCGATGGAATTGCGAAAAAAACGTGCACATCCGTTGAGCGCTATTCCTACGTACCCTGAAAGGAAAGAACGGAAAAACGAATAACGACGGGAGAAATCACGAAAACGGCAGGTAGCGGAGTGAAAGATATGTTTCAAAATCGATGGTTGGGTTGGCGTATTTGTTGTCGTCGCAGATGCGATTTTGATCGACGCTCGAGCCTTCGTTCCATTGTCGTAGTCTATTGTTCAGATTATTGGCAGGTTGGAATCGGTGTACGTGTGTCTCGATGGACGATACATTCGTATGTAACAAGAGGTAGCGCTGAAACGTCTTCTCTACTTCCGTAGTGTCCCTTGATCACTGCGTTCCTTTTGCTCGTACGTCGATAGCCTCTATATTCTACACAAAGAGCGCCCACGCCCACGTACATTCCGTTATCTGCGATCGAATAGAGTGAAAATGACCGGCGATCGTACACCAGCGGTTCCAAATCGGAAGATTTGCCTCTTTTTAAATCGCTCAGAACAAAACACCAGAAAGGTCTTGTACAGCGATGCACTAACTTTTGTACACTCATCGGAATGTATTTTCTTTCAAAGCCGATTCTTTTTCGATCGCTTCTAATTGCAATCGGTACGATAGATATATCGATTTTCACGTGGATACCTTATTCGTCGCAACGAGATTTAGAAAATATTAATGCTTTTCACTCTGTCCTCGAGGAGGTCTTTCCTCCAGAGTGCAGAAATGACACACGATAGGATGGAACGCGTAACGCGATACGCTTCCACCGACGGACAGCCCATGCGTGTGAGGGAACGCATCGACGCGCCGATGGGACGTCGAGAACGTAACGCGGCCACTCGCGCAAGAAGATCCTCCTCGTCCTCGGCGCCAAATTTTCAAGCACCGACGAACTGTGATATTAAGCTACCACTCTGTCGGGTTCGCGAGTCGTGTGTCGTGTATCACGTGCACGGCTAACTAGTCAGTCGGCCGCGAACGAGAGCGACGGAACGCTTAAGCTCGGTACACACACGAGAACGAAGCTGAGAGGCGGAATGACGCGGAGGAAGCAATTAACCGGGGCTAACGAGCATTCTACCGCCTCGGCTAACTTTCGCAACGAGTATATTTTACGTTTTAATTATTTAACGTAATTGGATACTCTTTGGGTAAGTATGTATGTATACCGATGAAACTCGACGCGTCCTCGTGTTCCGAAATTCGTGGTTAATCGGGCATCGGTGCCGACGAAAGCGTCGACTCGACTCGACTCGACTCGACTCGATGACGTTTCACGGAAACGCGTTCGACTCGGTGTCGCGAACAGGCGATAGGTTTTTTAACTCTGCTCTATCGATCGACCGACCGACGCGGTATGTCGCCTCGTCTCGTCTCACGTTCTCCCATGTGGAACTGGCTTTAGCAGGGGCAACGTACCCTCTAGGAAGGGGACAACGTCATTTGCAACTCGTTTCATCGCCTGCCATCTGGGCTGCTTTGAAGGCAGCTACGAGGAAGAAACCATAATCGTTCACCCGCCAACACGGCGCGGATGCCTCGCGTATAGGTACGTAATTTATGGCAACCAAGTGCCGTTCTCCGACCACTAGTCCTTGCAATCTGGAGAGGAATTTAGTAGCGACCGACTACATTTGCACGCGAATCTCCAGCCACTCGATATCACAGGAGTCCCTCCTTCCCTCCTCTCGAGAAGTAAGATACGTTTTCAAAGTAACAGACGAGTCCGTCGGGTGAACTAACCTCGTTTGCGCGTGCACAAGACGCGAACCGGGCTTCTTAAGCGGCGAGCCTGCCTTTTCCAGGGGAATTAGACGCACCGGCGGCGGGTTCATTTGTTCGACGGAATCAATTTAAAGACTCGCAGGAACCGGCAAAGTGGCTGGAGGGCACTTCGCGTGCGGCAAACTCACAAAGAGGCCGTGGAGGTCCGGTGAAAAATAATTGGGAAATAAATAAATCACGAGCATTAACTCGGAAAGTTGGTGCTCGCGAAGGGACGACGGCCGGCGTGCAAGTGGCGATCACAATGGCCGTCTTTTGCCCGTTCCACGACTTACCGAACTTTCTATATTAAACAACTTTTCCGCTAATTTCGCTCGGAATTTCCTCTTTTTTCCCTTTTCTTCTTCTCCCCTCTCGTTCTGCTTCGTTCCAACTTTCGACCGATCCAGGGAATCCGTAATCTACGACCCCTAAGTGAAAAATGCTTGGAACTCAAAAGAGAGATCGAGTTTCCTTCTTTCCGTCGAATCGGCGGAAATAGGCTAAACGAGCAGAATCCTCGACGTTTTCCCGCGACAAGCGAAGAGAAGGTTAAATTACATCGATTCGTAGTTTTCCACAGGCACGAACGGATCGTTAACAGACGATGAGTGTGGGGAGGCTCGCGTACAACGAACTTTCCGGCAGCGAAGACCGAGTTTTAATGAAATTGTTCGCGTTGATGAAGTTAACAAGCGTCATGAGGGCGTTCGCGGGCCGAAAGGAGAAAGCAACCTTTCAAACGAGCACGTATCGACGTCAGTTTATTCATTCCGTTCCTGTAAATCGGTCAAGTACACCGCAGATTTTTCTGCCTCGGTTCGGCGCGGCGGTAGTAAATAAAACAGTACGGGAACATTTTGCGAACGATAAACTCAGCAAGGGATGCGTCGGATTTCTATCACGCCGCGCAAGTTACTCTCGTGCGTGCAACGATGCCGAAACATCACCCTCGATCCGGTGAACGCGATTCGACCGTTACGCGATCCTGTGACAGATTTTTCACCGCTGTTATTCGACAATCGAACGAACAAACTGTTAGCCGCTCGGAAAAAAAAAGCTTCGTCGCTCGACTGTTCGGGGGCGACCGATAATTGATACGCGCGTGAAAAACACGGGAAATCTTTTTCAGCGATACAGTTCTTTCGAGTTTGCACTAGTTTCGGAGCGCGTCGCTCGCTCTCGAACGAGCATCGACGCGGTTGGGAAACACGGGTGCGCGAAATCCGATGGTTCGCGTTGAAAGAACGTCCAACGAAAACTCGAATCAGCGAAAACTATGAAGAATGGTCTTCTCTAGAAATTTAATTTCCGCTCGCGGCACGAACCTGGTAGAGCCATTCGTCTGTCACGTTCGAATCCCTAGGGTTCGGCAGCGAGACGAGGAGAGGCGTGGTGAGACGCACGAGTGAACGACCGAACGCAAGTGTAATAGTACGCTACGTCGCGTCGCGGCGGACACGTATTGCCAATCGTGAGAGGCATCTTGACGGAAACCCTCCGTTCGATCTCAATCGACGTGATTAACGCCTCTGACCTACGCGATACGCGCATCCAACAGAATCCCCAGCATCGATCGGTCGATCGTACTTGAGAGACGATGGAAAGCTATTACCGGGGCTCGGTAGACTTGTTCCGATTAGCGAGCTCCTCTAATTGATGTACAACGCGCGGCTAACCGGTAAACGGTAATGAAACAAACGCGTGCTGGAGTATGTACTGCCGCGCAAAAGGGACCGATAAACATCTGTATCGCCTCTGGACAGGTCGTATCGTCGACCTTACTCCATTTGCGACGAATACTACGCGAACACGTACGTAAATTCGACGTTGTCCGAATCGAACTAACCTGGCGTGACGAAAAGCACGATGCCGAGGAGCAGCGTCCTCGTCGCCGCATCCGCGATCCACCGGAAGTCCCTGCGACACCATCGAAGCCGATGCCGCCTCCCATTTCCTCGTTCTTCACCCTCCTCCGCAGCTTTGTTGCCGAGAAATCTCCCGACCGAGAGTCGCAGCTTTCCGTACAGCGAACCGAGTAGGCCGCCACCACCACCATTGGAACGCCTCACACGTTTCTCGTGTCCATTCTCTTCTCTTCTTCTGTCCACCTGACGTCTGCACGGCCGGGAACCTGTACACGTCGGCTGACCGGAGGCGAGGGTCGCTTGTAAGTCAACCCTGTCGGAAAAATCAATGTTTCGTTCACGAACCACGACTGAATCGTTCGATCGACTGAGCGGTCGAGGGTAATAAGGCAGAAGCTGTATCTCCCGAGGGGCGAGGTGGAAAGGGAAGCCAAGGGAAGGGGAACATTTACCTTTCTTCCTGATCGCAGGCCTTCCCATCGTGCCTTAAGAAACGAGGGCTCTGGGGAAGAGTGCTTCCTGAACACCGGGACTCGAGCCTTCGCCGGAGGTCCGTGGCTTGTAGCCCTCCTCCGCCCCCCATACCCCCGCTCCCATAGTACCTGTAAATCATAAAGGCGGCTCTAAGTTAGCTTAGTTAGCTGGAGATTCGATCGTACTCCGAATGTAAATATTTCAAGGGGATGGTAGGTCAACGTACTCGACTACCAAGGAAATTCTCCAATCTCCTGTATACACATGTGTCGCAAGAACTCTTGTCTTAATTCTATTTTATAGTTTGGTAATACATCTCGTCTGAGGATCGAGTTTCGAACAAACGGTACACAGTCTTCCATCACGGAACAACTACTTAGCAATTAGAAAGAGCAAAGCGAAAGCAAAGCGCTTCCGCTTTAATTAAAACGAATGATAAGTCGTACAATTCCTCTAATCGCATATTTCGACATAATTATACGTTTCCTCGGCCTGGAAATCAGTGCACCCGATAAACAGCCGAGGTCGAAGGGGTGAGAGAAAGAGAGAGACGGTTCCCCTCGTTATCGGATCGCGGTATTTTCAATTTGCACCCAGCGAGCTACTTAATCCCGGCTCGGCGTAATTCGAGCCGCGATAACCGTATGTCTCGGCCAAGTTTTTTTTCCCCTCGAGCGTTAATCGAGTAATATAGTCACGAAAGCGGCATAATACCGCGAGATGATGCCTTAGTCGATCCCCGGACGGTTTAATCCGCGATTCTTATCGCGACCCGATTACTCCGCCGAGAACCGACATCGAGTCGTTCGATAAGAGTTCGATTGCTCGTCACGAATGCCCGCAGCCACAGAGAGCGGTGATCACGGAACGTGGAACGTGGAACGCGGAACGAGCTTCCCCATGGCCTTCCGGTTCGTTCGTGTCTGTTCGCGGATGTCTGCCGGCGTCTACCATGGACGAGAAAACGAGGATCACGACGCCTCCGGGTCGAATACCTTACCGGATACCGAAGCCAGGATATCGGACGTTCGACGAGGTTCTCGATACGATCGTCGATTCACGGCACGATTCCGCTATTTTCAATCGGAAGTCGCATCGTCGGCGGGACCAGCTTTAAATTGCAGATAAAACGTATTTGCTTTCGTTCGCGAATTCTAATTGCAGACGAGGGATTGGCTTGATTTTGAGGAAGATGTCGATTCACATTGATCCCTGACTAATATATTGTTACGTGTTAGCGGCGTCGTTTTGGTAACGATGTCCAAAACAGAGGCAAAAGACGTGTCAAGATAAGTACTCCTTCTCTTCGAATAAATAATTCTTCCTTTTTATAAACATTGTCTTTATTTATTGGAAGTCATGCCGCACCCACGCAACAATATTATAAGTGATCTAGACGTTATTTATTCGAAGAATGCGTCGAACGTATATGTCTTTGAGAAGTTACTATCTATTCCTAACGTCGAGAGTAGTGGGATTCAAGCGACTTACCCCTGCCGTTCCGCCACCACTACCGCTGCCCGGATTTTCCGCTCCCGGCGCCGATTTTTAGCAACTTCGCCACTTCTTCAGCTTCGGCGACAGCCACGTTAGCCACCACAGCGTTTCGCTATCATCACCTGAAATACGAATAACTCGTTGGTTCGGAGGAAACGAAAGTGAAACAGACGGTGTTATGGTATTTTCCGGTATGTATTCGTTAGCGTTCGAAGCTACGTTGTAATTCCGACCCGGCCAGATTTACGCGTATGTATCACACGTACGCTTACATCGCGATTATCGTGCACGAATGCTTTCTTCCGGTACCTAGTTGAAATTCCGTACAGGCGGCGTCTGAATCGAATCGATTAGCAACATAGTACATGCTCGGATGCGAGAGACTGATTGGACCAATTCAGTTTTCTTTACGTGTACCCACCCCTTATGACGAAGCACGAGCAAGCGTACAAAGACGAATCAGAGCCCTTAAAAGACTAACCAAACTCTGTGAAACGTTTCCAAAGGACTGGCAAAAACTCACGAAGGATAGTTTCGCGTTAATAATATTTACAATTATCCAACACGCTGATACACAACAATGTATCAAATGCTACTATTCAATATAAAAGCCTGTCAAGAAAATGATCGATTCAAGCATCCCATTTCCTGGAAATTTCAAACGTGGGTTGTTTCCGCTAGACCAAGCTCTCGTAGGTACGCGCTCGTTGGTTTCGCTGGCATTCATAAAAGGGAGAACGGTTCGCCACCGTTTACGATTATTGGCCTTTAACGCCGATATTATTCCGGATAGAGTCGCGTTTTACTGTCTCCCGGTGAACTGCCCCGGAAAGGCAGTCTGTTCTCGGCGCTTCCGTCGCGTCGTGAATCTAGCCGAGTAAACCGGCAATGAAGCGTACCATGACCGGGTTTCAGGTTGTTACACGGAGGAACAGGCTAACTGGAAACCCGTCAGCACCTTTGACGAAGGGATCGTGGGGTCACGGGCTTGCACGGTGCTGGTGCTAATAGTGGACGCGCGGGGGACGAGAGGGTATCGGAGGAATGCCTTGCTTTGAACAATGGCACATGTCGCCCGCGCAATTCCATCCCACCGTACGACCCACGACACCACCTGTCATAACTCGTCTTCGTGTTCCACCGTTATTAGTGCTGAGCCAGTGGGATCGACCGATATCTCCCACTCCTGTAATCCTCTGTTCCTTTCATCCCCGACCGATCGTCACGAACGACGCACGCACTCTAATCAATCGAACGCGATAAACGATAAGCGATACCAAATCGAATCTTTTCAATTTATCGGCCATCGATCCTTTTGTCGCCAGCTTTGGATTGTCACTTTCGTAAAGCACCACTTTTCGATAAATGTAACCGAGACTTTTTCCATACTTACGGATAATGTTTGCCAAAGAATGTACCGAATTTTGCGCACGGAATTGTATTTGTTGTTCTACCTCCGTCGATTCTACGGAACGAACCGGAACTGCTCGACTAATTGGCCCGTGTCCACGGTTCCCATGTGACGACACTTGTTATCCGTGGATGGGTGACGCGATCGAGAGGGAAAAATTATTGTCGCCTCGCGAGCCGTATTCGATCAGCCAGAAATTTATTGCCGTTAGCCGACAGCGCGTCACGTGAACCGTTCGCTTCACCGGTCCACCAATCAATCCCCGAGTGGAGCAGAGTTTATTACTCGTACGTTCCGGCCAAATTGTCGAAAGTTCGTGGTTAATTTCACGTCTGCGATCCGCCTCTCTTTGGCCATCCGTGCCTCCCGCACTTCCATTAACTTTCTCTCGCGATACATAGTATACGGTACACCAGAGAATTAATTAGCGCGTCGCGTTAGGTGGTCTCGGTATACTGCGAGCTGTATGCAAATTTCGAGTTAGGTATAACACAAAGTTCGACGGCAACTGACAGTGACCTAGAAGCTAAAAGCCAGTTTCAATTGGACGTAGCCCACCGTAGAGGGCTACGTTTACTCCTTTTCGTTTCGTCGGCGCGACGATTACAGTGTTTAGACGAAAACGCAGTAGATTGGACCGTCGTCGATCCTGAAATATTCTCAACGTCGCGCGTCCCGGCATCCACTCGTAAAAGGCAGGGGTCCGCGATAGCCGTTCACGAGCAATTTCACCGACAACACGGGTCTGCCGGCCGATTCAATTCCAGCGGCGACCAAACCTGATTCGATCAATTGTGAAAATTTCGACTGTGCTTTTTGTATTCTCGTATCACGCAGCGAGCGGGCGATTGCTATTCAAAATTGAAACTGCGGCCGGTCGGTGTATAAAGTCTGTCCCGTAATATCGATCCAATTAACGTTGGTGTTGTTCGCTCGACGCTCGATAGCCGCAATTTTGTCTTCTCGAAACGACCTCGCGCTCTTTTCCATTTTAATCGGTTGCAGACTGGAAACACTGGACGGCCCAGAAAACGTACTATGTTATTCTTCGCTCAGAGACCGCGACAATACGATAGCCCGTCTTCGTCCTAGAAACGCCGCAACGGAGACGCGTTTCTCTCGTTCAAAGGGTCGTATCCGTAACCTTCGCGAAGGTACACCTGCTCGGACGTTTCGCGTTAAAGTCGTCGAGGTCGTCGGCGAAACGAGCCGGATGAAAGATAAAGTGGGATAAACGACGCCGGGAGACTTCATCAGCCGCGCACAAAGAAGCCGTTTCGCCGGGAAATCGGGATGCACTTTTCCGCGCCCGAAGCTCCCTCGGCATCCTTGAGCCGAGCTATTGCGCGCGGAAATATGTCAAGTATACGGACAGAGTAACGCGGGCTTAGAAATGCACTTGACATTTTCAGAAGTCCCTTGCGCATTCTACTGTCCACCTTTGTCCAGGGGCTACTTTCGGAACGATGCTCCACGAGAAAAAATAACTCTAGACTCTGTATACGACGTTTGAAACGCGTTCAAAATTCTGTCGAAAGTATAGACACTGTTTGCGCGCCGTAAGATCGGATGATCCACGTATTATACCCGAAAATCGAGGATACTCTGCGCAGCCTTGTTTAGTCCCGATTTGTATTATGTACCCTCGCGAGCAAAGTCGGCTTCCGCTAGGGGGAAAAACTGACGAAGGTGAAGGACCTCCTACCACTTGGTAAATGTATTTCAAGTACTGAAATAAATGTTGAATCGAACGTTAATTTAGCATAAATTTCAGTAATTCCCGATACCAAGTGCCCTTATCCCTACGCTGTTTTTTACCCTAGTGGAAGCCGAGTTTGCTCCACGGTGTACATACATGTACATAAACTCAGCGTCGGTCGTCGCACGCAGTTGCCCCACTCATTCCGCTTCGTACAGGGTGTTCCGCCGCCGCGCATTGTCAACGTGGATATCTCGTCCTAAATGCATGTCCGCGTCAGCGCGACCCAGAGCCCTTTCACCGCGTACAAGAGACTATGCGTCAGGAAATCCGTTCGCACGTCCTTGCGGCACGATGATGAGGACGTTAATTATTACCGTCAAGGTTCTCTGGCAACTGCGTCGCGCGCGCGGCCCGTCGGCGATAGAATTTCGGGGTAAATGGGAACGAACCCGAGGTCGCGCGCGATGACGTTTCACCGACATCGAAAGGAAACAACCCCGTGAAAAGAACCGTGAAACACGTCTCTGGTATTCTACGCTCGAGGAAGAGGAGATGTTTGCCGTCCCGCGATGAGGTCTCCCCGGCAGAGCAACCTTTTCCCCTCCCCGTACCGTCCATCTCGTCCGTCCTCCAGGATTTTCCTGCAATTTTCTGAATCCGGATCTTTCCAAGGGGAATAGAGGAATAGGGGTCGCGAGCCACTCGACGAATGCTAATTGAAAGCCATCGTGCCGGGCTGCTTAGCGAACGATCAAGCAAGCCGTTTATCGAGCCACGAGTGATTAAATGTTACTGCGTGCGTGCGTGCTGGTGAGATTGTTTAAAATTTCAGGATGTCGAGTGGCATTTTGCTTCGCTTAACTGTGTTCCATCCGCGGTTTGATATCGCGCACCGGATTACCGGAGATGAATGTTTTGATATTTCATGCGGGTCGCCCCTGGTGTCGATACGGCGTACAGTCCCACTGGATTTCCGAGTATCGAGCCTACTTCGAAGTGTATACTCTATTAAATCGGCAACGGCATCGTTAGCGTCGCGAACTGCGGTCGAATCCAGAATTTATAACCAGCCAGAATGAATATCGAATCCTCTGCAAGGCTACCGGCATCCACCTCCGTCGTGCCCATCGATAAAGACCGAGCGAAGAACTTAATTATGCAATGTCAATTAAATCTGCCGTCCTGTCGAATTGACCCAATTATACCTCGATCAGAGCGGACTAAGTTCTCGACGGAATGCATTAAAACGATCGCTTCTCTTATCCACCCCCTTCCTTCCTGTATCTTTACGAAAGATCGCTGGGAAATTTTCAGAGAAATTAAGAATTCAGCGATTTAACCTCCGTGCTCGAAATCGTTCGAAAACGATCGATCGGATACAGAGGGACGCGTTTCGGCGAATCACGTTTTTCGAGGTGTTTCGAGCGAACAGAATCGAGCCAAATTGTAAAGCGGATCGTCGGCGAGGTGGACGGATTCGATATCATGATCCGGCACGGTTCCATAACCTTGTCGGCAATACGCGATACATCGTTAATTGTTTTCATTGGAATTATACCAATGCTGTTCATTTGCTCCCGTTTACCACCCGTATCTTGTGCTTCCAGTCTAACTGCCTCACGCTTCATTGATCATTGACCGAGTCATCGACTACCGGAGCTACTAGTTGACGGTTGTAAAACCTTCATGGTCGTAAAGGTGGAAGGGATGGAACACTCGAAGAGCAAGTAAATCGTCCGAGGGTTGCTGGTGGACGAGCCTAACCAGGGACTCGGCGGTGATTACATCGAAGATAAAGCACGGTAGTGAGCGACGGACAAAGGTGGATAGATGGAGGCACTGAGATACGAACTCGCCAGGGGAAATAAAGGAAAGGGTGAAAAGGAAGGTGGCACACCGAAGATGGGAGGGAAACGAACGTGGAAGAGAATTCGGTGATGGACAGCAGGTGATACGGTGGAAATGGATTTTAAAGCGAGGATGTTTAAAGTGCAGCGCCCCCAGGGGAAATTTCTGAACATCGAACAAGGAACCTTGGAGATTCTACGAGCGCGACGAATCGCCAATTTTGTGGACACAGACTACGGTGAAACACGATACGATTTCACGCGCGTGATCAATCGTTATTCGCCAACCCGTGACAATGATTACCGTCGAGTGGTTAAATACAGACAGGAATGCAAGAGCTTTGAAAAGGCTGCGAAAAAAAGAAAGAATCACAGCTCAATGCGGAGAATTAGAATTCACATTACGC